CGTGCGTGTGCTGTGTGTGTTATGTGTGCTGTGTGTTGTGTGTTGTGTGTGTTGTGTGGATGTTGTGTGTGCTGTGTGGGTTGTGTGTTGTGTGTGGTGTGTGTGTGGTGTGTTGTGTGGGTTGTGTGTTGTGTGTGCATCTAGTGCGCCCCCCTGCTGCCCGATCGCTAGAGCAGTCACCCTCAGCCCAGACGCCGACGCAACAACATTGTGTCTTGTGTGTGTTGCGTGTGCTGTGTGGTGTGTGTGGTATGTTGTGTGTGGTGTATGTTGTGTGTTATGTGTTGTGTGTTGTGTATGTTGCGTGTGTTGTAGGTGTGTGTGGTGTGTGTGTGTTGTGTGCTGTGTGTGTTGTGTGTGGTGTGTATGTGTGTGTTGTGTGTTGTGCGTGTTGTGTGCGTTCTGTCTGTTGTGTGTTGTGTGTTGTGTGGTGTGTGTTGTGTGTTGTGTGTTGTGTGTTGTGTGTTGTGTGTTGTGTGTTGCGTGTGTTGTGTTGTGTGTGAGGTGTGCATGTGTTGGTGCTTGTGTTGTGCCTGGTGCTTTTGCCGTGCTGTTGTCGTGCTTTTGTCGTGCTTCGTGTGTCGTGCCGACGCCGCTGCGCCCACGGCCGAGGGCGTGCTGCGCGGCTCCTCTTGCGATCACAAGGCATCTGGCGGCCCGTACGAACAACACACGCGCGTCGTTGTTGTTGTTCGCTGCTGGCGTTCTCGGCGCGAGGCGGAGGAGGAGCCGCACATTCAAGCAAATTCCCCGCATTTGAACAAGTCGACGCGACACACGCACTGCTGAAAAGTACGAAGCACGACATTCGGCGTCCGTGCCGCTGTGCACGGGTTGGGCTCAGGGGCGGCTTCCCGCATGAATCTTCGGGCACAAGAGGGCCTCAAGACGGGCCGAGAAAGCTCCAGGATGCCTCCAAGACGGTCCAAGAGGGCCCCGAGTCGCCGAAGGATCGCTCTAAGACGCCCAAAATGGCCTCAAGATGGCCCAAGAAGCCTCCAAGAGGTACCAACAGGCCTCCAGAAGACATCACAAGAAAGTCCCGAGAGGCAAACTTCATTGATGGTACATTGGTTTTTGATGGTGTTTGCACCCATGGGCTTTTCGGCTTTCCGACGCTCCCAGACGGCCCGGCCTCCAAGACCGCCCCAAGACGCCTCCAAAAGGGCCCCGAAACGGTCCAATGGGGGCTCCAAGACTGCCCAAGAGGCGACCAAGACGGCCCAGGGGGCTCCAAAGACGGCTCCAAGAGGGGGGCCCAGACGGGGGACCAGAACGGACTTTTCGAGCCATCGGTCCCGAGGGGCCGCCCCTGAGAGGCCCCAAAGAGGCCCCCAAGAGGCTCCCGAGAGGCCCCCAAAACTGCCCCCAAGAGACCACCGAGAGCGCTCCGAAGAGACCCCAAGAAGCACCCCTGATAACTCTGACCCGCAAACCAGGCACGGTGGCGGATGGGCCGAAGGCCATTCAGTGTATCGCGCATGTTTCGAAACGATCATGGACCCCTTTGGTTCCAAAGTCAAGAGCAGCTTGGCCATCGCAACATGCTGAAACGACCAGGCACCGGCGGCTGAGCATAACAACAATGGCACGTGCTCTACCTATACGACCACCCTTCGGGTGATAAGGAGGTTCGGAGGGTGGGAGGAACCAACGTCTCACTCGATCGGTCTAACTATCGATCTCACTATCGATCTCAATATCGGTCTCGCTCGATCGATCTCACTCGATCGATCTCACAATCGATCTCACTCGATCTATGTAATTCGATCGATCTCACAATCGATCTGACGATTGATCTCACAATCGATCGCACTATCGATCTCACTATCGACCTCACGATCGATCTCACAGTCGGTCTCACGATCGATCTCCCTATCGATATCACAATCCATCTCACAATCAACGTCATCCTCATCATCAACATAATCGTCATCATCGTCATCAACATCAACATCATCATCATCAACAACAACATCATCATCATCATCATCATCATCGGGAAAGCATCAGCATCATCACCTCATCACCATCATCATCAGCATCATCATCATCACCATCATCATCATCATCGGGACACCATCATCGTCACAATGTTCATCATCAACATCATGACCAACGGGACACCATCATCATCATCAGCATCGGAACACCACCATCATCATCATCATCATCATCATCATCATCACCATCACCATCATCATCTCATCATCATCATGAACAACATCATCAACATAATCACAATCGGGACACCATCATCATCATCATCAACATCATCATAATCGGGACACCATCATCATCGTCACCATCATCATCATCATCATCATCATCATGATCATCATCATCATCATCATCATCAAAATCATCGGGACACCATCATCATCATCATCATCATCATCATCAGCATCATCATCATCGGGCCACGATCATCAAAATCACCATCATCACCTCATCATCATCATCCTCAACATCATCAAAATCATCGGGACACCATCATCGTCATCATCATGAGCATCACCATCATTATCATCATCAGAATCATCATCATCGGGACACCATCATCACCAACAGCATCATCATCAACCTCATCATCATCATCATCATCATCATCATCATCATCACCATCGTGACGCCATCATCATCTTCATCATCATCAGCATCACCATCATCTCATCATCTCACCATCGTCAACATTATCATCACCAACATCGTCAACATCATCATCATCATCATCATCAGCATCATCATCATCATAATCATCATCAACCTCATCATCCTCATCATCATCCTCCTCCTCATCATCATCATCATCATCAGCATCATCATCATCATGAACATCATCATCATCGGGACACCCTCATCATCATCATCATCATCATCATCAGCATCATCATCATCATCATCATCATCATCATCATCATCATCATCATCATCATCGGGAAAGCATCACCATCATCACCATCATCACCATCATCATCATCATCATCATCATCATCATCTTCATCATCGGGACACCGACGGGACACGGGCAGGACACTGGCGGGACACCGCGTGGCACCGGCCCCCGGAAAAAAAACATTTGGTCCGGCCCCGCCTCAGCCGGAAGCGGGACACCGGCGGGACACCGCGCGGCACCGGCCCCCGGAGAGGAATCATTTGGTCCGGCCGCGCCTCAGCCGGAGGAGACGTTCTTCTCGCACGCCCACGCAGCTTCGCCTCGCCCGCTCGCACGGCACGCACGAACACGAAACCGAAACCGATTTCCCGATAGGGGGGCTCTCCGTTCCACTTCGATCTCACCCCCTTTCCTCCGACTCATGGCTGGGAGCAAAACCTATCGCATTGCCGCGCCGTCCGTCTGATCCTTCTGGCCCTCCTGCTATGTTTTTACCCCCGCCCTCCCCCCCGCCAGAGCGGCAACCCTCGCCAGGGCGCGAATCGGGCATACCTGGCCCTCGCGCGTATGGCCTCGCGCCCGATCGTGCTGCTGCGCGATGTGGCGAGATCAAAAAGTTTGTGGAACCTCTGCGATTACGACCGCCAGCGCTACACAGCGGGACAACACCGATTGGCGCTCGCTTGCCGCAGCAACTCTGTAACCCCCCTCCGCTCCAGCGGCCGCTACGGACGCCGGAACTCTCGGCACGGCTTCCGAACCAGGGTCCCGAACGAGGGCGCCCCGAGCGAAACGGCCTGCACTTCGCAGGTGGAAAGAAACGGCCGGCTCCAGTCGCGAGGACGTTGGTTCCTTAGACGGAGGATCTTTTCGTCGGAACCGATCCTGGCTGCCCCCCTGCCTGGAGGCGCACTTCCCCGCCGTGGCATCGAGCCCGGCCAGTCCCCCTGGCGAGCGCGCCCCATCCAGAGGCGTTGGGAAAGATCGATCCTCGGGCACAAGTGGTACTTTGTACAAGCGCGAAGGAAGCCCTGTGGCACAGAGGGGAAGCAAAAAACAGGGCGGAGCGCGCCAGTGGCCGCCGGGGCGGCGGGGCCTGAAGGCTGGCACGAACGTGCCGGAGCCCTCACTTGTGGTGCGGTGCATGCTCCCGACGCGGAGGCAGAGGAGGCGGTGAGGGACGAGGAGTGGGGCGCACTCGTGGGCGTGAAGCTCCACGCCGCCCCCCAATATCGCCGTCGCGGAACGACGTCGGACGCCTCGATCCTCCGCGCGAGGCGAATGGGGCAGCACATGACGAGGCCAACCGGTCTCGTGCCCGTTGGGAGCCGAGGCGCCGCGGCCGCGGTCGCCGGGTGCCGCGGCGCTGTGGCCCCCACGTGGCCCCCTGGACCTCGGAGCTCCCCACGCCGGATAAACTCCTGTCGCGTGAGCGACAGATTGCAAAAAGGTTTTTTTGCAATCAATCCTTCGTTTGTTTGCAATCCTTCGTTCGAGGAAGGTGCGCTCGAGGAACGAGGAACGGCGTCTGCGGCAGGGGGGGCCTGCAACGATGGCAGTTCCTTCGCGCTGCCAGTCGTGCTGGCACTGCCCACCGGGCGGCCCCTGGCTGGAGGCCAGCACACAAAGGAAAGCCCAAACCATAAGGATGTGTTGTCACAAAGAGATGTGCCAAAATGCGAGGCACTGCGCCACAGAGACGAACGGTTGCCATGTGGAACAGATCCCAAAAGCAGGCCGTACGGGCAGCATCGGCGGTAAGTGTGCCTGATGCGCGAACGGTGGCAGCCCTCGGACATTCGCAGGCAAACGCACGGTGGCAGGCAGAGAGGAGAGGGCAGTTGGAGGAAGAGGAGAGGCAGCTCTACAGCGAAAAAAAATAAGAAATCTGTTCCTCGCGGCAGACCAGGACACCTGTCTCAAACCGAACTGCGCTCAGCAATGCTGATAGGAACTCAGACTTACTGTCTGCGGATGCGATGCGAGACGCGATCGAGAAACCGTGCGCGTGATCGTGGAAAGCATGACACGACGAAATCAACCGCAAAGAGTGTACGCTCGCGGCGGCCACCCTCACTCCCTCTTCCGTCCCTTAGAGTTGAGTCCCCTCCCCCTCCTTCGATCACTGGTCAAGCCTGGACGAACCGTCGCCGTCCATCTCTGCTGGGCTACTCCAAGAGCCCGCCACGTTGCTGCCGATTGTGCCGTGCTGCTTATGGCTGCGCTTCAATCTTCTCGTGGGCGCGGGGAAACGTACCATATCTCCCTGCAGAAACAAGGCCGGCTTCCATGCCTCGGGGGCGCTCTGCTTCATGACGGCCAGATTGCGGTAGACGCGGACGTTGCTCTGGAGACCCTGCCGGCCGCCCCAGCTCACGCTGCATGTCTTCGGGCTCTTCGCTGGCCACGACCGGAAGCCCTCGAAGACGCGGAAGAGGTGGAGGGCGCTGTCCGGATCGACCGCGTTCACGAACGCATAACCTATCGGCTGGCTCGTCTTGAAGTCGATGGGCATATACACCAGGTCAAACTTCCCCCGAAACCCGTGCGAGTTCAGGAGCTCCACGAACATGTCGCGCCGGAGCGCGTATGTCGGGGAGACGCAAGACCCGGATACGGGGGACTCGGGTTGGCCTGACGGGGTCATGATAAAAAAGACGAGACCCCATCTATGAAACTCGACGCGAACTCCCGCTGCAGACCTCCCAACAGAAACACTGCGCCGTCACAAGATCCAGGACACGCTCGTCAAAAAAAAACGTCGGCAACCCCGAGCTCCAGCCAACTCGAGTCTTACCTTTTCCCGAGCATGGCAGGTTGCGGAGCAGCACGGTGGTGCGCCGCTCGGCGCCCCGGGCGTGCTCCTGGCCGGGCCGCGGCGCTCCGCCGCCGCGCCCCGTGGTGGCCGCACCGCCGTGGGCCCGCGGCCGCCCGAGGCGCCACGGCGCGCCCTCGCCGCCGTGCCCGGCCGCCCCGCCCGGGCCCCCCAGCGGCGCCTCGCAGCCGCAGCCCGGCACCACGAGGCTCGCCGGCGGGGCTGGCGCGGACGCCGACCTTAGAGGCCTCCCAGGTGGGGTCGTCGCAGATGGGGTCGGAGGATCGCGCCGCATCGCCGATGCATCGGCGATGCACTGGCGATGCATCGTCGACGTGGGCGATGCATCGGCGATGTCGACGTGAAGCAGATCGGGCTCCACATCGAGCTGCATCGGCGATGCGTCGGCGACGCGGCGCGATCATCCGACCCCATCTACTGCGACCACATCTAGGATGCCTAGAGACCTGCGGATCCGACGCTTGAGCGGCTCCTGCACCTCCAGGTGGAAGAAGGTGTTGCGGACCTCCATCCTCTGATGGGCCAATGTTTCACCACCACTACCATAGGTAGGGCGGGGGAGAAGGGTGGATGAGGAGGTCCTCATCCCCCTCCTCGTCCTCCTTGTCCTCCTCCTCCTTGTCCTCCTCCTCCCCCTCCTCCTCCTCCTCCTCCTCCTCCTCCTCCTGCTCCCTCCTCCTCCTCCTCCTCCTCCTCCACCTCGCTTCTGGCGGCCAGTGGCCTGAGCAGCGCCTCAAGGACAGTGGCTATCTCAGCCACGGCGTGTGCCCTCGTTGTGGAGTTTGCCAGGAAACACCTTGGCACAGGCATTGGGGCTTTCAAGATAATGCCAACATTGATGATGACAACATACACCTCACCAGCCATATGTATCAAGATTCCTTCGATGGTGTGCCTGAGTCGGAGTGCTTCTGGACCCGTGGGCTCGTTCCTCTAGGCTGACGGTAGGAGTGTTGCCTCCCGTGGAGACGAAAGTCTGGGCCTGGGGGTCTTTTCATGAGGCGCTCCGTGAAGGTATCCTCATTCACGGAGGGATTTTCGGGAGTGACGGTTCTGGAGGAGAACATGCGAAGGACTGGAGGTTGAGGAGATGCGGGTGGTCTGTTGTTCACCTCCATCCAGGGTCCCTCCAGGTGGCTGGCGTGTTATGTGGAACCCTCCCCGGTGCGGAACAGAGCTCTCCCCGAGCAGAGCTGTATGCCGTAATCAAGTTGTTGCAAATGGTTGTAGGTGACGCGGTGCTGTACACCGACTTCCTGCCGATTGCTCGCGCTTTTGCGCGGATGAACGTCGATGTAGATCACTCGTGCATGCTGGACTTGTGGCAGCAGGTCTGGGACCAGCTCGGCGACAGAGGTGGCCGGCTGGACGTCCGCTGGTGCAAGAGCCACGCCACCTTCAAGCAGGTCTCCGCCCACAGCCTGACCCCCCAGGGATTAGTAGCCAATGGCGTTGCCGATTTCTTCGCGGGGGAAGCTGCCAAGTGGGGGGCCCTCCCTGCTGATAAGGTGCGGGAAAGCTATAATGTTGACGAACATTGTTTAAATGTTGTTAGGCGCCTCCTCGCTGTCTCCAGGCACGTAGCGCTCACGTGCCCTAGGATGCGCGAGGACCGCCTTGGTAGAGAGCACCACAAAGAGAGAGGGCCCTGTTCGAGCAACATCCGCCGAGGGAGATTGCGTGAGCAGGGCCATGATGTGTCCAAAGTTGCTGGGTCTTTCAAGTGCTCGCGATGCCTCTGTAAGTTTCCCGCTGTCCGTGGGGAGCTGGCGAAATTCTGGCCTGGTCCGTGTCCCGGGGCGCTGGTGTTGGGGTCCTCGTCGTCTTGCAGGTTGGGCTGCTCGACCTCCCCTGGCCCTTCGTCCCAAGGAAACCCGAACGGACATCCATGTTTCTCGCGTGCGCACCTGACGCACGTCCTGGCTGAATTCAAAGGTATACTGTACTGTCGCTCCTGCGGGTGATTTGCTGCCAACACTGTTCAGAAGCTGGCCAAACCTTGTCTAAGCGAGTCGCCGGCTACAGCCGAGTCGCCGGCTACAGCCAGACGAAGGCCGTCGGCAACTGGCAGGCGCAATCTTGAGCGGCTGGCAGAAGGCAAGCCCCCCAAGTACGGCTTGGCCTTCCCCGCTCCCTGAACTTCGATTGTTCCCGTGGGCCCGAGCTCGCACTCGTGAATCCCCCGAATGCTGGAATCCATGGAATCCCTCCTCCTCCTCCTCCTCCTCCTCCTCTCCTCCTCCTCCTCTCTCCTCCTCCTCCCTCCTCCTCCTCCTCCCTCCTCCTCCTCCTCCTCCTCCTCCTCCTCCTCCTCCCCTCCTCCTCCTCCTCCTCCCTCCTCCTCTCCTCCTCCTCCCTCCTCCTCCTCCCTCCTCCGCCCTCCTCCTCCTTCCACCCTCCCACTTCTGATGGTGGCAAACAGACCCATCCAGCCTCAGGCCCAGGTCCGCGGCCCGAGGCAGCTCAGCGGTGCGCCATGCGGCGCACTGCACCCGCGGGTGCTGCTCGAGACCGCCCGGGCCCCCTCGCGCCTCGCGCAGGGCCGCCCGCGCGGGCTGGCCCGGCGAGGCAGTGCACGGGGGGGGGGCCTCCTGGCACATGGCCCCAAGTTAAGCAGAGTGATTTCGTCACGTGATGCGAAGTCGCCCCCCCGCCGCTCCCCCCGCCTCTCCTCTCCTCCTCCTCCTCCTCCTCCTCCTCCTCCTCCTCCTCCTCCTCCTCCTTCTTGCCTCCTCCTTCTTGCCTCCTCCTTCTTGCCTCCTCCTGCTCATCCTCCTCCTCCTCCTCTTCCTCCTCCTCCTCCACCTGAGACTCGCATCACGTGACGAATCCCAGTTGCCGACAATTCGCGGCGTCTGGCAGGATGCGTGGCTAGGGGGGGGCCAGTCGTGGTCTAGGTCGCAGTGGCCTCGAGCCCAGAGTCCTTGAGCCAAAGCAGCGACGGAAAGGCCATCTGAGGTATCTATATATATATATATATACACATATAGACTAGAACCATTGCGCGAGCTTCGTGCGCGCTCCAGTTCTAGCCAGTTAGGCTCGACAGGCAAACGCATGGAATCTCAATTGTTGAAGTGCCTTGTGCATCGAACGACCTTCTTGGAGCCCCTGCGCAAGTCTCGGACGCGTAGAGAAGGGGAAATGTGGAAACCACAAAACCATAAATTTCCTTTAGGTGTTCGATGCTGTGGGGCCCTCGAAGACTTCCTGGGATCTTTCTTCGGTGGTGACGGGGGCCTCAATTATGGTCTGTTGCGCAAACATAAGCAAGGGGTTAACTTGAAAATCAGGAATTATCTGAATTTCTTCTTGTTTCCAAATTGCCACGCCTGGGCCGTAGGTCGGAAGCTTCCTGGATACAGGCCGTGGATTTGTGGGTCGCCTCTAGGGGCTTTTTGGTGGCGTATTGGGGGTCTTTCCTTGCCTCTCAGGAAGCTCTTGGTGCCTCATGGGAGCCCCGCGCGAGTCTCTGGAGGCATCTCGGGGGCACTTCGAGGGCCTTTGCGAGAACCTTGGAGCCATCTTCAGGCAAACCGCGCACCTTTCAAGGGAGTCTTCCGGGAGTCTCCGCAGGCATATGGGGGCGCCTCGAGAACCTCTGGGAGAACCTCGGGGCCACCCTGGGGCAAACCGCTCGTGAGGCTTTGGGAGGTCCCCTCTGTTGGCTCTTTCTTGGCGCGCGCGCGCTGACGTTCTCGCTAGGCTGGACAGGTGAACTCATGGGATCTCGATGTTTACTGTGGTTTTGCGACCCTGAAGTCTTGATGGAGCTCGGGATGAACTTGAGCAAAACGAGAATCACTGGATCTCCTTTTTTATGTCAAGTGGGGCCTCCTAACATGTAGTGCGCAGGAGAGGCGTGAAGGGACATGTGGGGGCCGCTGGGGAGCTCTTTGGGGGCCTCTTGGGGCCACCTTCGGGCCTGCTGTTTGGGGGCCTCTTGGGGCCACCTTTGGGCCTCTTCGGGGCTGTTGGGGGCCACTTCAGGCTCTTTGGGGGACTCTTTGGGGGCCTCCTGGGGCCTCTTGGAGCGGAAAGCCAGGATTATCGATTTGCGTTCCCCCTGTTGGGCCGCTTTTCAGGCCATGTTGGGGCTCTCTTGGGCTGCCTCGAAGCGTTCTTGGGCCGTCATGGGGCCTTCTTGGACCGTCTTGGAGCCGTTTTGGTGGCTCTCATCGCCTCTTAGAGACCTCCTTGGAGCCTGGAGAGCCGTCGGAAGTCTGTCTTAGGCTGATTGGGAGCGTCTCGGGCCATCCTTTCGCCTTCTGGGGGCTCCTTGGGGGCGTCTTGGGCCGGGTTCCCCAGAACGCCCTGGGGCGCGGTACCGGGAATTGCCCCCGGATGTCACGGAGTGTGGGACGCTCCCCAGGGGGGGGGGGGGCGTATTGTTAACATGCACCTATAAGTACACATATGCACATATACCTGGATATATAAATATACGTATACATACATATATCTATATAAATATACTAGAACCACGCGCGCGCTTCGCGCGCTCAGGTTCTAGTCACTCCCGCGACCACGCTCAACACCGCCAATGCCGCCACGGCTACCACCGCCCTTTCCGCCATCACCGCGGTCACGACCACTTCTGATTTCATGTCCATTCTGGGCATGACCACCCCATCCACAACGATTGCACTGTCCACGACCACTATAACGGCCATTGGTTCTACCTCTGCCTGTACCACCACCAATGCCACTACCATTGCCACTGCCACTGCCGCGAATCCACGACCACTATCATTACCACCACGGCAAGTGCCACCGCCACGACCATCCTAATCGTCGGTAGGACCACAATCGGCGCACGAACTGAAGCCAACTGCAGCCATCACCACCACGACCCCTCCAGGGCTCTCCTGGGGGCATCCTCTGGGCCCCTTGGCGCTGTCTTGGGATCCTTTTGGGGCTCGCTTGGAGCCCTCTTGGGCCGTCTTGGGGCTCTGATGAGATGTCTTAGGGCCCTCTTCGGCCGTCTTGGAGCTCTCTTGGGCCCCTCTTGGGGGCTTCTAGGCCGAATTGGGGATCCCACTGCTTCTTCTCACATTCTCGTTATTAAGTCTTCACTTCTCTTTGCCTTTGC